TGAGTCACAATAATAACGACACATCAGAAAATGGAGAAATTACGACATTTTGGCCTGTCCTGGACCATCCTGGACCACACACGACTTTATAATGGTCAAGGATGGATCAAAATGTCTTAACTTCTCAATCGTCTGATGTGTGGTTTGGTCCTCAAAAAATTGGTTAGAAGCACCGACAAGATACCACTTGGTGTTCAGGATATTTAGAGCACCAGAGTGTTTTATATATGTATATGCATATGTTAATGCTTACTTTATCCACATATCGTTAAAAAAAAGTATTGTGCCCATGGAGGAATTTAAAATTCACTTATTCATGTAAAATCAGGATGAATGGATAAATGCTATCATAAACAACTTTATTTGCAAAAGCAAATATGAAGTTATATTACAGAGTTGATGTAGTGTACACATAATAGGATCATGGCAAAATGTACGTTTAGCAAAGTCCTCACAAATTATGGGCAAGTTTTAAAGGCGAGTTTAGTGCATTATATTACAGCATTGCTTTTAAAAGTTTTGAATAGATTTCAGGTTACTTGCAGTGAGTTTGTATAATAGATCTCAGGTTAATACTTCAAAGTTAGAAACAAATGTTTCTTATACTGTAGTTAGTATATGGGTGAAACTTAAAAGTACATATAAATATAATAAGGGATGATAATTGAGGAGAGTTAATATTAGGGGAGGGTAGCAAGCTAATTACACAATACTGGAGAAAATAATGGTAACAGCTAAGAAAATCATAGATATGCAGTTCATTGGTACATTGGCAGTATGCCATTATAATGTTGGCATAAATTACTGTAAATGCTTATTGGCATAAGTACTGTAAATGTTTATCATCACTTATTGTATAATATGGAGAGCATGGCAAGGGCTGGGACACAGGTAGTAGGTTACATGTACAAGGGCTGATACAATAGGATGCTACAGTAAGGATAAGTATGGGAAAAGAAAGAATTTTTAAGGCAGCCATAGATTTTAGGATCCTTTATATATATATATGATGCAGTAATTTGGTTAGCTTGAGGCAGTCACCGAGAATGTTAGAGAAACTGTACTTGCATCTTTTATTATTTCTGAGAGGTCTGTTACCTTTCTCTTGGAGTAAAGTGAGTTTGCATTGTAGTGTTGGGCTTGGAGTATAAACAAGATATTAGTATTAGCAAAAGAATTTGTGCAAGTGTAGGCAGGAGAAGGATTAAGCAAAAATTGTATCCGCGACTTAGGAAGAACAAGATAGGAAGGGAGACAAGAGGCCTGTTGGGGAGTGATTGTTACAACACTGATGAACAAAAATGTGGAATCTCATCTAGATAAACTATACATTTATGTTAGACACCTCTAATAAGTATGGCTACAGCATCTACATCAGACCGAGTTGAAAGCTCCAACAGCCTAACTGATCCAGCAATCAAGAGTAATATTACCAGGCAGTACTAGACAGTTTAGTAAACATCCAAGAAACTGACATGGATAACTAGCTTAAATACAGTGGTACTAGTTTTCCATGATGCTTACTAACAGTGGAAAATAGCAAATCTTTACAAATTGGATATTCACTCTGTAAAATATAAAAAATTACAGATCCATATGGAATTTTTTAAAATAGATACCTTCACAGAAATTTCCCTCTTTACCGTAAGGAAAAATAAAGTACAATTAAGGAAAAATAACTACAGTACCAGACTGCAGCATTTGTATACAAGGGCAAAACGGAGAACCTATATAATGTTCCTGCACAACTAATCACACAATATATACACAGTTAAGTTTGCTTGTCTTGGTTTTATAAGTAAAGAAACAAACTAGCAGAAACAACAGATAACAGATCTTCCTTTATTAATGATTAACTCTTTAAACAGCTCCAATTACTATCCGAGATTACTTCCTATGCTTGAAATGACAAATGTTTACACATAAGTTTTGTAAACTATTTGTAGTTTTATGCAGCATAATGAAGGACTTCATTAGGAGAACTAGTTAAGGGTTAATAAAATACAATACACTTACAATAGCTTATTTCAACAAATCAAGATTACTGCATGGTGTGTACATGTATAATTACAGAACAGTCATATACAGGATGTCTAAGAGTGGTTTCAAGTTTTGATGCTTAAATGAGCTGCATTTTTCTTCTTTTAATGGCAGTATTGAAAAATAATTAAAGATTTCCAATAATATTTCAATCAACCTTATTTTAGTATACATATTTAACTGCAAAACAAAACATTACACTTAGTAAATTTAATGTATGCCTATGCAATTTCCATTAAGAAATTTTTTGCCTAAACTCCAAAGGATGCACTTGCCTCTGGTGTAAAATCTATACGGTACAGCATTAGGCCTCTTAAATATATACACCTGTCTTCACCTCGATCTTAAACAAAATAAAAATCGGAAAGTTTTTTTTAATGCAGGGCAAGATTAGCAGCCTACAGGATAAGCTCCGATCCATAAATAACTTTCTATAGTAAACATTCATTCTCAACACAGGATAAATCCGTATTTGGATACTAAATCTGTAACCTTTAACAGTACTATCTTCAAAAATACTATACAGAAAAAATATCCATAGTTGACAAAGCAGACATTTATTAAATTTTTTGTTATAAAATGCAATTCTGGAGAATTAAGCTCCTACACATTTAAGACATCAAAATGACGAGGTTGCCATGTGGTGGCAGATTGCATGTTTGAGAAGTGCTAGAACAGGCATGAATGCCATCTTGTAGTTACTGCATTATTTTTTTTTAGGATAAAAAACCACAATTATATATTTGTGAAATTTATGTTAACAGTATTGCGCCTTGGGCGAGTGCTCCGCGCGTATGCATGAAGTAGCCTTGGCGGTGCGGGCGAGCGCTCGGCGACACTAAATGTGTATACTCGTTTCAGATTTCTCACCTTAATTCTCGTGCTACGTCGCTCGTTTTGGTATCATTGTGTTAACAATACAACTCCCTACAAATGTATATGCATATAAGGTCCAACAGCCAAGCTCGACTCCCCTCAACAAAGCCTAAAATTGGCAAGTTACCCGTGAGCACACAAAATCAGTAAAATGTGTATACTCGTTTCAGATTTTTCGCTTTAATTCTCATGCTACGTCGTTCATTTTGGTATCATTGTGTTCGCAATTAAATTCCCTGCAGGTGTATATGCATATATTGTCCAAAAGCCCAGCATGACTACAAATAGCAAAGCCTCAAGTTACCCGTGAACGAGAATCAATTATCACATCCACAACCTAATGTGTATACTTGTTCAGTTTGATAACATCAATTATCGTGTTACATCGCTTGTTTTGGCATTAAATTGTTCGCAATATAAAGGCTCGTATTTTAAAACTAGTCCCACAATAATAGAACAATAACTGGAATTTTAACAAATATTTTATTTTTGAATACTCATCATCACAAAATTATTTATATCTTTCCAGTATTCTGACAAATTTTTGTGTTACATCTTTCATTTTGGTATCAAATTGTTCACAATGTAAAAGTGCGCATTTTAAAACTAGTCCCATAATAATAGCACAATAAATAGAATTTTAACAAATATTTTAAAATTTTGACCAAAAACGTATTTATAATCTTTCAAGTGTTCTGACATCACATTTTGGATTACATCTTTCTTTTTGGGATCAAATTGTGCGCACTCTAATGGAGCGTATTTTGAAACTACTGTATCCCGAAGTCAATCGGATAAAAAATAAATTTTATACAAATATTTTTGTATTGGACGCGAATGCAGTCCAAGGGTAGGACTCGAGAGAAAAAAGTGGACGCGAGTGATGTCCAAAGCTAGCGATAGTGTTAAGATGTACACTAAGTCTTTCACACTTTTCTGAGTGCTTTGTCATGGTCTGAGTACAGAATGTGGTTAGGGGGGCGACTTATGGGACTTATCAACGACTAAGGCATTAGTCACCAAGATGCAAATCTCATCCTAACCACATATTCAGACCTTGCTAAAGCACTCAGGAGTGCAAAAGACTGTGACTTCTTTTCATAAAATTCACAAATGCATAATTGTGGGTTTTATCCTATGCTACTATGTCTGTGAGAAGACTATTACTTAATAATAATAATAATAATAATAATAATAATAATAATAAAATAAATAAAGGTTGGGCTCTAGACCCAGTACAGTAGTAGGATGTCAAGTCACTCAACATTTATCTGGCAATTTATTCCACATTTAAGTAACGCCATATAGACAAGAATGTCAGCAAGTGGCTGAATCTAGAGCTCAAACATGCAGATACAGTAATAGCTGTATTTCTTTTAATAGGACATTCATGACTAAATCAAAACAGCTGGCAAATCCGAATAATAGGTGTTCAGATAAAATACTTAGAGTATTGTTATTAACAAATACAGTACAGTATATACAGTGGAACCTCGAGTGACGAGCGCCTCAATTTACGAGCATTTTGAATAACGATCACGCCGATCGCCGACAATGTCTCGATTGGCAAGTGCTCGTTTGATTAACGAGAAAACCACATGGTGTGTTCCCGCTGCTTCTCGTGCACTCTGACGATGCAAATAATTTTTTTTACTTAAAGATGCTAATGATGCTGGGATGTAAAGGGGTGACTGCTGTGATGTTGCAAAGCATTGTATTTTTTTGTAGAATAAACAACAAAAACTTAAAAAAAATAATTAAAAAAAGAACAAATGTCATAAAGGTTCGTTCAGTGTGTGTTACGTACGCTGCTCCATTATTAATAAATGGATGAAAAATTCAAAACAAATTGAACACATTTGAAACAAAGAAAGATTGTCATAATGGAGCAGCCTACCTGACAAACACTGAACAAACCTTTTGCCATAAAAAAATAAAAAATAAAAATAAGTGAGCAAGGTTGAAAAAAGAAAAATGTCAAAGGTTCATTCAGTGTATGTCAGGTAGGCTGCTCCATTATTTAAAAAATAAAAAATCATATTGATGTTTTTCGGTGGTGGAATGGATTATTTTTATTTCCAATATTTTAAATGGAGAAATTTGTTTTGAAAGACGAGCATTTCACATGACAAGCTCAGTGCCGGAACGGATTAAATTTGTTAATCGAGGTTCCACTATATATAAAAAAATTACAGTACAGTACTGTACCATACAGTATATCCAAATTTTTTAAACAAAACAGCATTAAATAAAAAGGCATGTGTTTAGTACTGTACCTTTATTATACTGCAGTGAGAATCTGTACATTACTTCTACATTAAGTAATCATTTTATGGAAATATGACTAAGTTTAGTAGCTAAAATTTAAATCTAATTTAAATCTTTAATTAACCAATACCATGATCACATTTAAACAAGATCCAAATGTAATTTTGGTACAGTGCTAAGTTAATTGAAGTACTGTACTATAGTACTTCAATTAATCTTCAAAAACAATATGTGAATTCAATTTGGTATTCTGTGCCTCTCTGAAGGCTTTTTGGAGTAGCTTTTCTCTGCCCCGTACTTGATTAGAATAGCCAAGTGTACCTTTCCCAGTTTGTTTGTTTTTCCGCCCTCTTAATTGAGACCAACAACTAATAATGCGATTCCAGTACTCTTCCTCCTCTGTCCCAGATAAAACTTCCATACGACTCCAACACCCAGACTTTTTGTATGCTGAAGCTGCATCCTCAGACAAAAACCTAACAAAAACATCTCTTTCTGTAGCACTAACATCCACATACGCCACGCCACCACTGCCCCCTTCACGTATAGTCTCTCTCAGTTTTTTTGGGTCTTGTGGTGGTTCTTCAAAGCTTATTTTTATTATTGCATTTGGAATAAACTGTGGCTTTGAATTCTGATTCTCATTAGATACACTGCTGGCTGTATTCTCTCTTCGATCCCATTTCTCTGGTATTTTAATGAAATTTGGATTACAATATTCTGAATAATCACACTGCATATTTGATCTCTCTTGCAGTTGCCTCTTTAAAGATTTCATATTCTCTCGTTGCATATTTAGATACTGATTTCTCAGCCCCTTCCAATCCTCCTTTGACATTACCCTTAAATAAATACTCTCCACTATTTCTTCCTTTTCTTTCTTATTACGTTTACGTTTCTTTTTCTTCTTTTTGCTACCTAAAGACAACCCCTCTTCCATTACTTCACCACTTTCAGTACAAGTAACTGAAGCAGATTTATTAATGGCATCATCTAACTTTGTTTTTTTGGCAGAATGAATATTAGGTTCAGAGTCATTTTCTTCAAATTTGTCCTCCACTTCCTTTCTCTTTCTATTAACATCTTCCCCCATTCTATCATCAACTTCAATTTTCCTCTCTTCTACTTCTGTCTTCATTTTAAAGGCTGTATCTTTATCATCACTAATTTTATGTGCATTTTGCTTTAGATCTAAAGAGCAAATGAATTTGTTTGGTGTCCCCTGTTCATTTGTGTTCAACTGCTCCTCTTCCACATTACCCTCATACGATTTGATACTCAGCAATTCGGAAGGATCGATTGTTACTGGAATTCTACACTCTAAAGCCCCAAATGCTTCTAATGCAGAGTTGGCCATTTGAGGAGTTTTAAACTCAACAAACGCAAAGCCTTTGGGTTTGCCCGAGCGACGATAACGTGGAAGGGATATGTAATCTATAGTTCCATATTGAGCTAGCACTTCTCGAATCCAACTATGATCACTATGAGCTGGAATGTTCTCGATATATATGGTACATTCCATTTCATTATCCTTTACTTCAACTTCAAATTTTCTTTTTACTTTAAGCCCATCTTCAGAGAGTTCCAACAATGATGATTTACTGACAGCCTTTCTTAGCAAATTTATATCAGTTGTTAGGGAACGAATTCGATTGAACTTGAAAAATGTGTCTAGATTAACGTATGGGCCATCTTTAATTAGACTTGCCATAAAGCGATCTTTAGTAATGTTAGCAGAGCTAAAGTAAAATTCCATTTGTGCTGTAATTTGGTGGATTAGGTGCTTCTTGCGTTTTCTTGAATCTTTCTGGGACTTTTTCTCTCCAACAACCTCCTCTGATGACGTGTTGGTATCCTCCATGTTTGTGCAGTCCACTACAGTTCCTTCCATCATAGATACTGGACCAATCCTTTTATGTATTTTCCTTTCTGGTTCTTCTACGGCAACTGTAGACAAGAAATAATGATGCTGTCAATATGCGCTGTCACTGCGCAACTTCTTAAAACAAAATCTTAAGATACCTGTATATACAGTGGTAAAGTTCATGAAAAAATTTACTCTTGAAATTATTACTACTGTAGTATCCTGCCAATTTTAATAGATTGTAAATGCAGTACAGTACATCAGATTTAAATAATTGGGTGCCGTACTATTTTATATACGTGCTGTACAAGACAATGGGGATCTGTTACTTGAATACAGCTTATAAAATTCCTACGTTGTTCTTATTATGCTACTTCAGTTTCAAAAGTATAGCTTTAAAAAATAAAATGTATTTTGTTCCTATTACAATGGGAACAGAAACTACTGACTTTCCCCAGGATGCAACCTACAACAGTTGCCAGACTCCTGGTACATAGGTCAAGCTGGAAAAAAAAAACATAAGGTGAAAGAAAAATTTGCCAAAATGATTCTGTCTTGCCATGGGAATTGAACCAGACCTATTGGCTGTGACTCTATAGTGCTGACCACAACAGGTAAGATAGGGAGTCCCATTTGTAGTTTTATTGTCTTTGCAAAATAAAACCTAATCAAGTTAAATACGGAAAAATACGAGAGAAAAGAATTCTGTGAATAACCCATTTGTAACTACAGTACAGTACAGTACACTGAAAAATAAAAAAAATTATTGTTCATTACTCTTTTCTTACTAAGTAAACAAAAGGTCAGTCGAGTTGTATAGTGTGAGAGAATGGTTTCTTAGGTTTCCCACGGCTGATGAGAAATCTGCCTTTGGGTGCACAAGTGCACAAAGTCATTTCACTAATCCTATTTTCCTTATGACTGGATTTAAGTTCAGCATGTTTGGTATCAATTGAAAGCCCACATTGCTAACAAGATTGGTGATGACATGATAGCCATTGGGTGTCCAGTGGACGATTAGATAGGATGAGTTAAGCATTCCCGCCATTGAAAGTGGGACCCAGAGCACCCACCATTGTGAATGGCGTAGCCATTGCAAGAGACTCCAGCCAGCTGGGAGGAGAAAGCTTGTGGCAAGAGGGTAAACTTACAGCTGTCACGGGGGTGAACGTGACATTCATAATGTCACTTCCCTAGCCATCAAGTGTACAGGGGCATCTCAGTTTACAAATTTAATCCGTTCCTGGAGAGTTCGTAACCTGAAAATTCGTAAACCGAAGAAAATTTCCCCATAAGAAATAATGGGAATGAATTAATCCGTTCCCGACTCCCAAAAACTTCACTTCAAAGTAAATTTTTTACCCAATTCATCCAAATCTTCACTACAAAAGTACATACAAGTTATTACATACCTTTACTGATGACTCCTGTTGGCATATGGAAGACAGTGAGGAGGGGGGAGGAGGAGAGGTATTACTGTTTGGAAGGGAAGTCCCCTTCCATTATAACATCACTCGGTACCCCTACTCAAATCTCTGAATATGTTAGACATTAAGTCTCTGCACATTCTCTCATGTGTATTATACATATATAAAACGCTAAACTATAATGCCAATCCTGATCTCAAAAGCTTCATAGAAGGTTGTAACAGAACCCATGAGCACCACACCAGAAATAAATACAGTTTTGATATTCCTAGAGTACGACTTAATCAAACTAGAAATGCTCTACAAATCAAGGGGCCCAGAATGTGGAATGACCTTCCCGACCATGTTAAAGACTGTACCTCTCTCAACCAGTTTAAGTTAAAAACGAAGCTATACCTAATAAATTCCCTGTAACCTACCTTACCCTTCTATTTTCAACCAATGTCTGTTTTTCTTTAAAGAGCGCTGTTTGTCGACATATTTGTATTTGTGCTGCTTTTTCATCTATGTTTTGATTTCTTGTTTTCATCTACTCATTATGCTCAATTAGTATTAAGCTTGTCATTTAAGTTTATCATGCCCGAAACGCTTTGCGTAATAGTGGCTTTAGGCATTGTATGTACTAGCTCTACCTATAAGTCAACCAATCTTTGTAAAAATTTATTGTATGTACCTTACCTAAATAAAATATTATTATTATTATTATTATTATTATTATTATTATTATTATTATTATTATTATTATTATAACATCAGGCAGTGATGACTTCTCTGGGGTACACACACTGGCATGTTTTGCTTGCATACCACTAGGACCTGCTTCTGGCTCACTGTATGATTTTCTCATTGTTTTTCATTAAGATTTTTTTTCTCTTCTTTGCAACACTTGTCTGTAGTGAGACATCACATTGTCATTAACACTTTCGCGCTTTAGATTAGAGATAACTCGTCGCCGTTTTTTCTTACGATTCCGCATAACAGCCTACTTTTCTCGTCCATCGAAAAAATATTTCTATAAATTCCATTTTTTAACCGAAATGGATGGGGATACTCTCAGATTATATACGTTTTGTAGAGAATTTATTTGCGATTTTTTTGGTACCAGAATGAATATTATATCACATAAACTTCTATGAGTAAAAAAAAAAATACACAAAGTATGTTTGGGGGTGTGGCGAGCGTGTGGCAGTGGGTTCCCTTTAGCCGTTGATATATCCAACACGTGGGAAATATTTGTATGTGTTATGTATATGTCTGTGTAGGGAATTTTACTGCAATCACTGTCATACAAATTATAAAATGTTTCAACAAGTATAAACATGACAAACATCAAACGAACGAAAACAATGCGTTCGTTTCTGCCGCGAACGCATACTGAGCGACGTGGTTCTATATTTGGCGCTTCTCTTACACATGCTTTGTACAAATGTTATACATTTCATCTTATAGAAAATTTTATTGCGAACACATTGGTATAAAAAAGAAATACGTACATAGAAAAGTAGGGTCAGGAAACGTATAAACTTTCCAAGCATGATTTCCCCCCTGTGTTTTCGCCAGTGCGCTCGCGGCTAACTACTCTCCACTTCACACACTCTTGTGGGTGGGCAATTACCTATATTAAACATTCATATGCATATGTCCGTGTAGAGAATTTTATTGCGATTCCAATGATACCAAAATTAGCGATGTAGGACAACTGTAGGCTTCGCAACCATTAAGAGAGTGGAAACATTTTGTTGCTATTTGGCGCTCTCGGCGAGTGATCTGCATAGTTTTTTATTTGGTGTTGATACTCCTTATGCTTGGGCGGCATTTTATAGGTATGCTCTTATAGACAATTTCATTGCGAACACAGTGATACCAAATTTAAATACGTGCGCCTTCAATTATTGTCAGGACAGTCAAAAGAGTGTACACTTTTTCGGTCTTACCGCGTAGGCGCGCGAAGTGCCGAAAGCATCTGGGGTATTGTTTTTTTTTGAGCGCCGAGAGCGCGAAAGTGTTAATAAGATCAATGCAGCGGCCTGCTAAAGCTTAATCTGGGTGATTCTTTTCAGCAAAACTTTGCAGTTCTTCCCATACTGCACACATTTTCTTAATGAGGAAGGGACATCCTCTACTGCCTACTCCTCCTTCCCCCTGAAGATTTGTTATACTGCCTAGCTAGTTCAACAACACGTACCATTTTCACGTTTATGAATGATCTCGTTTTTTCTCTATGGTCATTCTCACATATGATTTCTTGCCTTGAACCTTATCACTAGCTTTCTTGGGACCCATGGCGAGATATATAATAACTTATGCTCAAATAGCCAAAAATCCGAAGAAAAAACCTGAAAATCCTTGAAGAATTCAGGTGGGATATTCACTGGGCGCAAGGCACTGGTAAACTGAGGTGCGATCGCCGTGCCACCATGTGCTTGGTTGGCCGTACGTGTATCAACAAACTCATATTCCGAGGTAAAGTTCGTAACCCAATTCAAATTTTCCGAACAAATTGGGCTCGTAACCCGAAAAGTTCGTAAAGAGGTACCACTGTATGTCTATACAGTACCATTAGATCTTGCACCTGTGCCTTGCTGCTATTGGTTAGTTTATAGACCTGACAGCTGTGCTCCCATGGAGACCCTGGCGAGGCACTCCGGTGCCCAGCATCCTCATTCCTGTTGAGAACATAGATCACGCAAGACATGGGTCATTTTCTTTATTAGCCAATAGACTAAAATAACTACTAAGTTCCTCATCATTAACCTTAGACCGTGCACATTGGGGGCCTGGTAGCGAAAAATATTTGAATTATGTAAAAAATAACTTAAAAATGTGAAATCTCCAAATTGGCTGCAGTGTCGTGAAACTTTTATCAAAATATTTTCAGAAATTTATTTTAGATAAACTTTTAAAAAATAAGAATGTTTAGTTGATAAGAACAGTTCCTAATAACTGGAACTGAAGGATAATGCCATAATAAAGAGATGCAAGCACCTGTCCGTTGCTCAAAGAAGAAGAATAGTAGTAAGAAGTGTCCACAAAGTGGATATGCAGTTGGTGCCTTTATATCATTGCTGAGTAATACATAATAACAAATAATAATGAGTAACTATGTTATTATGCTCTATTTTGTTATATATCATATAAATACATTGTCCAATGTTAATATACAGTATGTTACTTTCATCAATGTCCCAAAAACAAATTTTGTAGGGTAAATTTTTTTTTTTAGATTTTAGTTTTTTCTCCTTTGTCTATTATCTGATTTTGTTGTAACCCTTACATCCTGGAGAATGCATATATTTCCTTAACTATAAATTGGTCAACAAATAAGTCAGTCACAACTTGCAAAACTTGGGACTTAATTTTTTTTTTTGGCTGATTTTTTCTTTTATTTCAAACTATTTTCTTTGTCTCTTTAGGTTCTTTTGGTGATTAGGGACCATATTAGGGCTTTTTCACTTATGTAAAGTATACCCTAAATATCCCCCCCTAAATCATTATAATTGTTATAATTATTCCTATATTTTGATTGTTAACAATTAACATCATAATTGTTATAATTATACCTATATGATTTTGTGTTTGTTTAGTTATTTTTTCTTGACTTCATTTCAACATATATTGCCCTACAACTTAACACATATTCGAGTATGAATGCCAAACAATGTTTATTAAAACATACAATTAAATTAACGAATTAAAATTACCTTTATTCATAGTCGCTAACTTCAACTTCAATTATCTCTGAAACTAGTTTCATTTTTGAGTGACTTCTAAAATTCCAATTTTTAACCAATTCTCACTACTAGTATTTTGACATTGTGTGCTCAGCTGTCTGTTCTACAATCCCTTCAGAATGGATTTTTCATAAACTTTATACATTTGGAGTTATATTTTTTTTTGGTCTAAATTTGCCGCATATTTCAAATGCCTTATTGACGATTTTTTTTTTTACAGTAAACTATACTGAAAACCTATATTCTAATTTGATGAAAATGAAGATCATATGCTATTCCGAGAGAAAAACAACATTAAGGGGGCATGGGTTCCCAAATTTAAAAAAATATGGAATAAATGAAAACTAGTTCGATTTCAATCAAACTTTTTTGACTAGTTGTATATAAAGGGTTTCATCTGATCTAAGTCTCAGCATCGTAGCATAAATAGGAAGGGAGAAAAAATACTTTATTAAAGTACGTGTCAAAAATTTTCCAAAATGGTCAAAAATTAACAAACACAAATGTCAACTGAAATCATGTCTATGACTCTCAGCTATCACAATAGCATATAATAAAAAAATTAATAATTAGTTTTATCCCAAAAACCAGCGTTGAATGTAATGAAATGCCATTTTCTGGGCAAGACCCGGAGGCTCCCCGAAGCTTATCCAGGCTGATATGCTGTCAGACTTTGGTATCATTCATGTGTATGGAGTTCTGTGGGCCTACCAGGGACCACGAGCCAGAACCTAGCCTCCTCAGAGAGGCATGGGGAGCAATGGCCTATAGAAACCCCCGTGTGGTTGGAAGCATTCTATGTCTGCCATCGACCGGGTCAGGCACCCAGAAAGGCAAGCGTCCCAAAACAAACCCCTATTCTGGTGAAAATTGCTACCAAAAGCCGAACAAGTGGATAGAACTCCCAAAAAAGAAACGAGCATATGAGCATGATATCACACGCCGCTGTCTGCGCAGCACCCCCCTCCTCAAGAGGGAGAAGGGGTTATCTTGAGATGATTTCGGGGCTTAAGTGTCCCCGCGGCCCGGTCCTCGACCAGGCCTCCACCCCCAGGAAGCAGCCCGTGACAGGTGACTAACACCCAGGTACCTATTTTACTGCTCGGTAACAGGGGCATAGGGTGAAAGAAACTTTGCCCATTGTTTCTCGCCGGCACCTGGGATCGAACCCAGGACCACAGGATCACAAGTCCAGTGTGCTGTCCGCTCGGCTCCCTTCTGGGGGAGCCCTAGTCCCCCCGCCCAGCTATCCTAATCAGTTTTAACCAGTTTTGCCTAACCAGAAGCATCAGAGCCTAGGCAACCCATGTAACTAACTGGGGCAAAAATCATTAGACCCATGAAGCATCAATAATGTCTACACCTGATAACCCATATTACTGCATATGGGGCCCACTGCCATTTGAGGTAGATGGACATTTGAGTTAACCAAATTTTTACCTGGAAAGTAAAAAAAAAAAAAAAAAATCTAATTTATTTGAGTGTTAGTTCGGTAAAACTCTTAGTAACCTAAATTTTTATTATAGTTTTTCAGTAAAAAAAAAATTACATTCAAAATTATTCGGATTACCCAAGATTTTGGTTACCAGAATTTAAATTACAGAACTATTACAGTACTATGAAGATTTTAATTTCCCTAAAGCACTGCCCCATTTTTAGTGGGATCAATAGCATAAAAAGCAATGTAGTGTTCTGTAAGAGGTCAGGTTGAACAATCAGGGCTCCTAAAAGACTCCAGAGAACTCTATTCTCTGTTTAAATTCTCTGTCTGTAGCAATTCTCGAACAGAGAATTGCTACTCTAAACATAACCTAAATTTCTTTTTTTATACACATGCTGTGCAAGGTGAATAATGTCACTTGACATAATCGGGTTGCCTTTGGGGATCTTTTTAGAAAATACTGCTTGAAAGTGCAATGAAGCAGCTTGATACTATTAAATGTTGCACATTTCAGTATCCAAATAAAAGTGCCCCATGTCTTGGCCAGTTTCCAACTATGTTGGAAATCCCTAGGCGGTAGAAAGGTGTATCTGGAATGCACCACTACCCACAGGTTAGGTATGGAGTACACAATTAACGAACCCAACTGAACCATCTCTACGTTACCCAAGGATTACATCGCTCGGATGATTCCACCGTGGAATTCGCATAAAGCACTGCACTTGCTCAGAGATGGGTTAGTCCCCCACACTGCCCGGGGCAGTGTGGGGGACTAACACAACTACTGTAACTGTATGGAGGCCTGGTCGACGACCGGGCCGCGGGAACGCTAAGCCCTGGAAGCACCTCAAGGTATGGGGGACTAAACCCCACACAGGACTCCGGGGCAGGCTATAGGCCTGCCCCGGCTAGCTTACACAAGTCCACCATGTACCTGCTATACCAAACAGCACATCTGAGTGATCTTAGCTTGTAAATATAGTGTGTTTGACCTTAATAATTCTATGGCTTCATATATTATACTGTGTATCATATATAAAATGGTATCTATTATTTTTCATTAGGTTAGATAGGAGTGTTTAGAGTAGCGATGACGTAGATGGGTAAAACGTTCAGTAGACCCCACTCACACAAGCATCACCAAAGATGTCTCCACTCCTCACAAGCCCCAATCCCTCCAGACCAACCTTGAGAACCTCAGCCTCCAACCTTGAGAACCTCAGCCTCCAACCTTGAGAACCTCAGCCTCCAAACACGAGAACCTCAGCCTCCAAACACGAGAACCTCAGCCTCCAAACACGAGAACCTCAGCCTCCAAACACGAGAACCTCAGCCTCCAAACACGAGAACCTCAGCCTCCAAACACGAGAACCTCAGCCTCCAAACACGAGAACCTCAGCCTCCAAACACGAGAACCTCAGCCTCCAAACACGAGAACCTCAGCCTCCAAACACGAGAACCTCAGCCTCCAAACACGAGAACCTCAGCCTCCAAACACGAGAACCTCAGCCTCCAAACACGAGAACCTCAGCCTCCAAACACGAGAACCTCAGCCTCCAAACACGAGAACCTCGCCTTCCACTCCAAATATTGTTCTGGCCAGTCTCGCTCATCATAGATAACTGACATGTCATTTACCTGAAAGCGCTGTTTCTGTGTTTCTCCCTCAATGAATCTGGCCAGGAGAGGATCGGCTGTAGCCAATTGGTCCAAGACACTCATATCTCTGGCTGCTCCTCTATGATGCCTTCCTCCGCTTCCTCCTCACACCTCACGCTTAACAAAGACCTGAAACTTCTTTTGAAATATTTAGATATTTAGCTATCTATTCCAGGTGCATTCCTCTCGTATATCTCAGTATTAATATAACATCTAGTTAACAACCGAGTTTGTTTACAATAGTTGTGGAGGCGACCAACAGATGGCAGGGAGGAACCCCCTCCCCCCCTATACCCTCCCTCCTGAAGCCCTTGACGGCCATGACAGAAATTGGAATTGAAATTTAGGGATCATAAAGGGATCACAAATTTAGGGATTTAGAGAACACAAAGGGATGAGGTAGCTGGATCTACCTCATCCCATTGTGTGTATTTTACCTCAATAAACTTATTTCAATCTCAATTTCAGTCATGGCCGTCAAGGGCTGCGGCCATGACTGTGAGGTTGTAATTGTCAGACGTAGACTGGGATATTGAAATTTATGGCAGGTGGCTGCAGGTAATGAATCCCCCCCAATGGTCAACCTCCCAATTGTAAACTGTGTGAACGAAAACTGGGACATACTCTCCAATATGTATATCTTGCCCGAGCTTATTCGGGCTTGCCCGAATTTCTAGCAAAATTGAAAAAAATATTAACAGGTACATTGTAAGAAAAGGTCTTTCATGTGGTACCTTGTCAAATGTCTTACAAAGTCCATGTAAACTACATCCACCTGTAGTTTACATGGTCTGTAGCTGAAGTCTGTAGCAAGTATATTATGTAAGCTAATTGGGGAGCTCGACGTGGAAGCATCGTGGTAAAATTTCACGGTCATCACGGAACTCGTTCAAATATGTGCAAAATAAAGAGAAATAAAGGAAAGGGAACTAGTTGGATTACACAGGTCGTAAAACGGGCATTGACAACCAAGCGGAACCACTGGAGAACGTACAAATCCACAATGGACAATATTGATTATGAGATATACGAAAGGGCACTAAACTCGGCCACCCAAGAAATCAAATGAGCCAAAAAAACTACAAAAGGAAACTTGCCCCCAAAATAAAAAAACATCAAAGATCGTTTTATGCCTATATAAGAACTAAAATAAAAACAAAGGATTCGGCAGGACTCTTAAAAGATAAAACTAACAAAGTTATAATGGAAGATAAAAGGGCAGCAAACATTCTGAATGAATATTTTACATCAGTGTTCACACTAGAAAGGTTAGAAGACATCCATCATCCACACAAATGTTTGAAGGTGAAGAGAATGAATTTATGGTAATACCTATAACAAGCGACATAATCAAGAAGAACATTGGCATTGTTCTCGTCGAGGCCACTAGTGTTAGTGGCTCTCAGGTAAACTCAGGTAAACTAAAAGACTTGAAAGCCCCAGATGTGGATGGAGTCCAATCCAAAGTTATAAAGGAACTAACAGCACTATGCCTACCGCTGAAATTACTTCTCACAAAATCTCTGGACCAAGGGATAGTCCCCCCTAGATTGGAAATATGCAAATGTTACCCCCTATTTAAAACAAAAAAAAGGCAGAAAGAGCTCAGCAGAAAATTACCGTCCAATCAGCTTGACATCACACATCTGCAAGCTAATGGTGAAAATCATAAGGGAGGAAATCATTCTCCATCTTTCAGCGAGCAATCTTGTAAAATCGACACAACATGAGTTTGTTAAAAAATAGATCCTGCCTTACAAACTCACGTTTTTGGAAACGGTAACCAGCTACACAGAAAAGGGACTTCCGGATGAGGTAGTATACATGGATTTTGCTAAAGCCTTTGACAAGGTACCACATGAATGACTGGCAAGGAAATTACAGGCCCATGAAATAAATGATAGAATACTAGAATGGATAAAACAATGGTTGAAATAAAGAAATCAGAGGGTCGTACTAAATGGGTCTGAATCTGACTGGAGAAATGTGGTGAGTGGGGTACTTAGTTTAGTTCATTTATTATGCACCCCATACCCATCTTGTGGGCGGTAGTGGAAAGGGTTACAGAGGCACATAATGGGCTCAGGGACTGAACCCCACAATTCACTTCAGGGATTTATTATGGGGCCAAGCCTTTTTTGTCATATACATCAATGACATAGATGAGAATATTGCAAACCACATCATCAAATTTGCAGATGACACAAAGATATATATGGTAAAGTGGGAAATGATAATGATATTGGAGCCCTACAAAGAGATCTACATACACTCCACAAATGGTCAAAAGACTGGAAAATGCTTTTTAATATTGACAAAACATGTGGGGCATAGCCGACCCTCAGGGAGTCCTCACTGTCCGGCCACAGCGACTCCGCAGTCTCCAAGCTTGCCCCACTGACAAGGACGGCTGCAGCCCCCAGAACAGCTGACCAGGACGACGAGGCCGATTCCGAAGACTCGACCGACTCCGATGCTTTAGTCCATGTCACCGGCTCTCCAGCTCCGCATGCGGCCGCCCAGGCACCATCTCTTTCCCCAGAACCCGCACCGGCACCAACCAGGCAGACAGGTTCCCATACTGCCTTCTCCGGGTATATCCGACGTGGCCGCGCACTTCCTAAGGAGGACGGACAGCATAACTCAATAATCCATAACGACTACTGGAAATACAAGTGCCGGGAAGCGGACGGATCCTTCGCACGGTCGTCTCTCAAGAACGCCTCGATCACCTCTGCGACTATGACACCTTGAAGAAGGAAATTCGACCAGACTACCAACATCGGGGAACTGGAATTACAAACCAATCCTCTTTTAACACCCGGACATCTCCCACTAGGCCGGCTAGCCCGCCGACAGTCCTGCTAACTCCTGTAGCACTCAGCTGTGAGCGACATATGTACTCCATCAATTCACTGGTCTGACCAGCCCTATGGTCTTTAATTGAATTGGCAAAAACAAATCATCATCAGTTTAAACTCTAAATGTGGTTCAGTACAGAAGCTTGAGAGATACCCCACATCTTCAACATTCACCAACAACAATGTAACACTCAACGAGTCCCGTTCCTACCCTCATAAAATGTTTCAGTCCCGACACAGAGCAGACAGCCAGACTCCGGCCGCATCCATGCTCTCGTCCCGCACTCGAGCTCTTCGACTCCACCTGCATTCAGAGCGCCACGCTCTATGACTCTCACTCTGCATCCGAGCTCTCTATCCCGGCCTTACTCGACTCTCTGTCCTGCTCCAGGTTTCACCTCAACTACTACAACACTTCACTACACTGCCAGCAAACCGACTGCTGTAACCATGACTGTATAATAAATAAATATCAAAACCACTAAACTTTGTGTGTCTAATCAACCAAATACGTACATGTACGCGTACATTACAAGTCCTTTGTTACACACAGAAATCACAATAGCGTGGTGCATCAAATGAACAAATCCAAAAGGGCCGTGATGAGGGTTCGAGCCTACGTCCGAGAGGATCCCAGACGCGCCAACTATGAGGTAAGTTGAACTCCCGGTTGAAATTCTCTTTAACCATGTCGTAGCACAGTCAATTAAGGCGCGTCTGGAATCCTCTCGGACATATGTTCGAACCCTCATCATGGCCCTTGTCTTTTATATTGATAAAATATAATATAAATTGTCCGGATCAACATAAAGTCCTTCACCATTTGGTCCGGGAGACATCTCCCGTCACGCAGGGTGCAGTTGCGCCTCCACAGATCTCCAGTATCATCTTTTGATACTGGTAATGGCTCAAAAGGGCCACCACTTACGGGCTATTCATGCCCATGCCACCTATTGGGTGGCTTAATCTTCATCAATCAATCAATCATAAAGTCCTTTATATTGATTCGGACAACTTCTTCAAAAGGTCAGATGTAACGAAAACAAGGAACAACGGTTTCAAACTCAACAAGTCAAGGTGTAGGACTGAAAACAGGAAATGCTTTTTCAATTACAAGGTTGCAAACCCATGGAACCGCCTACCCGCTGAAGTCGTAACTGGAAAAACTGCTGAGCCCGCTACATCCATGCTCAACTCTGCTGAGCTTTAAAATCCAGATTGAAAAAATCATCAGAACAAATGGGGGACCTTTGACAAATCACCGGCTTCCTGTCCTCATTGAGGCCACTAGAGTGTTAGTGACTCTCAGGTAAATTCAGGTACATAAGCTAGTCTTAGCTAGTGTATAAGCTAGTCTTAGGAAGCGTATAAAAGATAGCCTTAGCTAGTGTATGCGTATACTTTCGTAAATGGTTTAGGGAAGCTGCATAAATATATTATTATTTATCACCACCACTAACTTGTAAAATTCATCCTTCTGAAGATGCATTGATTAATACCAAAGCACTTAAGGAATTTCCTGCCCATTTTCCTTCGTGATCAGACATTGTCACATTTATTTTATTTTTATTTCACTTATCATTATACAAGAAGGTACATTGGGTTGTGATACTACCTAACATTGGCGTTCTTAAATTCTTGCAAAGCCATTAACACGCATAGCGTTTCAGGAGATCCTTAATCTAAGCAATAAGTAAAAGTATTAATAGGTACATTTAGCAGAATTTGAGTTCAACATAATAACGACAATAATAATTGATTGTATTGATTATACTGGTGAAGTTGTATGTCTTAAGTACTAATTTTGGGCACAAGATACAGTGTGGGGGGTTTGAAGCTGATGAAATTAGGTACTTTTTTGATGAAATGATGATGAAATTAGGAACTTTTTTGATGAAATGATGATGACTGTGATGAAATTAGGTACTTTTTTGAGGAAATGATGATGAATTTGATGAAATTAGGTACTTTTTTTATGAAATGATGATGAATTTGATGAAATTAGGTACTGTTTGGTTTTACTTTTGAATAAGACATAGGTTGGAACATTTGTTCCAACTAGAGCTGGGACAACACTATATCTGTGATTGCCCTGTTATAAGTGACTTCAGACCAAATGGTAAGAGGTGCTTTGACCTCTGTAATTACTTTTTTTTATATATATTCAAAAGTTCTTACATTCTTGTACAACCCTTAGCACGCGTAGCGTTGCAAGAATATGGGAAGATATATTTCTTGTGCTGTACCCAGATTTTGCTAGTGGGGGCTAATAAATCAGCCTTATATTTCATGTTCTCACCTAATTTTTAGTCAGAGTTGATTTGTTTTTGTATTGAGGCTGGTATTTGCTCCTCCCTGACTCCATGTATGACTAACCATCCTGCGAGATGGGAATATTAAATGAGCTTATAGCTAGTTTTTGATCTACACTGTGTAATCTTTCATATAGAATAGGGTAGCAGCACATTGCTGTGTATACCTAAGCTTGTTAATAATAAAAAAAATGAACTGGAGTTATTTCTGTTTTTTTAGGATATCAGGAAAAATATGAAAATATGATTATTCATCACATGTTAATTTCGTCGTGATTTCACACATTATATTTATGTATATACATCAATGTTAATTATACAGTTATGGGAAATTATACATACAATCTTAATAACAAAATTTATATATAAGTGTTTAATAATAAATATTGTAAGTATATCAATTATCAAGTATTAAAAGTGGGCGGTGCTGGGATGCACCCGATGCTGATTACAGTATTCCCAAATACCTATATCAAATCAATATAAATGGGAAAATAATGACAGTGTTTCAATAGATCTAAATATTTTATATAAAAAGTATATATACATTATATGTATATATAAGCCACGATATTATTATTACACAATTAAGTTTTGAGTGCAGGAAAGTTTGCAGACTTCCTTGGTTTGGTAACATTACTTCCATTGACATTCGGTCGTCTGCTCTCCTGATAAGGCAAAGTTAAGGGATAAAACCACGTATTTGCCCAAATATTTTATTTCATATTGAAATTTTATCGTTTAATTTTTATCCTGAAATGTATTATCTGTATTTATAATAAATTACTCTGTAAGTAAATAACTAAAATTTTTAGGCCAAATATGAAGAGAGAGATGTAAACAAAAGACCTATCGGCGAGCCTCGCCATGTAGTGGTCAATATTACGGTTTCGTGTGACAGTAGAGGTTGACATGATACTCTAGTTTAACACGGGTCTTCAAGGTGAGGGAGAGCATGCTCCTTGTTTCGTATTCAATTGTTGCCCTCGACCAAGGGTATTGTAAAGGAATGGAGGTATTAAAGATAGGAACTCAGCGATTATAGCTCTGTGGCAGCAGACCGCCAAGTTCAGGATGTAACTCTTGCTTCATGGACAGTTATGTTGGGAGGCGTTCACCGTGGTAACTTTTGAGTTCACGTGACAATTATCTGCACACGCATATTACATAATTCTACGTTCTATGAAATTTTGTATTGTGTGACGAGCGGGGTCACATAATACACGCTCGTCATTTTTTAAAGAGGTTTTAATATTCATAAACCTCTTATGGATAAGACTCTGAGATTCTCTTGTCACTTGGGTATGTGGCCGAAACGTTCCATTTCTAACTCCAACAAAGCACTTGTCTGGGCGTTTGGTTGTTAGGCTTGGTGTCTCTGAAGTCATTAAGGTACCTCCATCAGTCTGCTTATGATTTCTGGTGCAGCAGGATGGCATACATTGAAATTCTTATTAAGAATTACATTACCACGAAATTCTCTTGAGAGAACTTGACAAGCACTTCCAAAGGATACCTGATCGCCCAGACTGTGACTCATACGTCGGGCTGCAAGCAGCCACGTCCAACAGCCTGGTTGACCAGTCCAGGAACCAGTAGACCTAGTCGATGACTGGGCCTCGGGGACGCTAAACCTCGAAAACACCTCAGGGTAACCTCAAGGTAGTTTGGTGATCATTATTTGGGAATGTGGTCATGCCATATTTTCATCCTATTCGATGGTTACAATTATTTTAAAAGAAAATGAGCCACTTGCAGCAATTAAGCCCATTTTAGCTAGTATTTCAGTGTATATAATATACTGCAGTAATATCAAAGCACAAGAGCGCTACTATCTTCTGTAAAATAAATGCAAAGAAATCACAATGGCTTGATATATCAGTAAGAAAATCATTTTGGGAAATGAAGTACTGTAACTTAAACTAGCCTTAGCCCGCTCGATCGTGATACTGTAGGACAAAAGCCATTCAACTCAAAACTCTGCTGAATTCACTGGGAGGTTCTGAAGTTGTCAACTAGTGCCACAGCCAGGATTTTATGACTGGCCTGCATACACTCTGGCCTGCGGGTAATGGTGTTCCAACCCTTACACTCCTCCTTGAAAACACAAGGAAATCACAATAGCTGAGTGGATTAAGGCAAGTGTCTGGGAATCAATAGAATGCCAGTTCAAGTCACCTCATTACCCCAAAAGATTTTCTCATACTGTTTATCACGCCACTTTAATTTCTGTGTTTTAAAGAACACGGTGTGAGAACACAATTACCCCCAGGCCAGAGTGTATGCAGGCCTTTTGTAAAATCCTGGTTGTGGTACCAGTTGAGGTCTCCAGAACCTTCCAATGATTTCAGTAGTTTTGAGTTGAATGACTTTCATCCTCTTGTGGCCGAGTGGGTTAAGGCAGGTGTCTAGTAATTGCTAGAATGCTAGTTCTAGTGAAGTCATCTCATCGCCTGAAATTATTTTTCTCAAATAAACATATTTGTGTTAGAGGTTAAGATAGCCTTTTCCTTAACAGAGAACAAGAGTTTCTGAATCTTAATAATTGGTGAGTGGAGCATTTAGCCCTAGGTGCCTTGATTGGTTTTGGCATTGAGGATGATGGATTAGAGGGCTTGCACTTGCTTGGTAATGATTCCCTATTTACCACACTTGCTGGTGTAGTGTTCCTGCTGTGCCACAACTGGCTTAGTGGGGTTTCCTGCTTGCTTGTTAGGCCTTCTTTTGCTGCTGTTGCTGTTAGGGCAATGTGGTGAATGCCTGTTTTGCCCAAGGTGTATTGTATCATCTCTTCTTCTTTGATTCTGTTTCTTGGTTTGCTTCCTTCTCCTTTAGCATTCGGGCTGATCCCTATTGTATCTGCCCTTGGCTGGGGTTTCAGTTGTCTCTTAATTTGTGTGTCTCCTGCTAGGTTTTGCTCTGTCTTTTTTTTCAGATTGCTTCTCTGTGATGTTGGGGGGAGGGGGTTGTTTCTTTTTCCTGTGGGGCAGGTCTCTAGAGTATCCCCTCTTCTGCCATCTCTGGCTTTTGTCCTCGGTGCTGTTTCCATTTAGAGCATATCAACCATTTTCGAAGTTGATCTCTCTTCCTGTATGCTTCAACAGCTTGGGAGATGGATGGGCCTACTTCCTCTGGCTTGGCAACCAATTCAATGATCTCCGGGTGGGCCTTTTTGCCTTTTGTGTTGTCCTGGTAGCTTTCAGTTTGAGGCCCAGTTTTCTGATTGGTCAGCATCATGAAGGACATATTTTGCTTTGCCTATGGTGGGCTTATTTTTCCTTCTTTTCCTGGTCCATTCTGCTTCTCAAATCATGTTGACTTGAGGGTTCTTTTGTGGGCTCCATTGGGGTCACTTTTGTCCAAGTTTTTGGTCTTTTTCTTGTGTTGTCTCAACCCCTCCCCCATTCCTAAGGATCCACCTCTCTCCAAGGATCAGCAGCGTACTATATCTTTATGGCTCTCTGCTTTCCACAATTTTTCTGTAGGGGATTCTTGGCTTTGTGTCCAGTCTTTTGAGTCAGGTGGCAGGTTTTCTTGGGGCTGCATACTGTATTAGTATAGTATCTTTCTTTTTGATAATACTGTATTTGTCAGTTTCCATTGGTCTTTTCTGTCTGGGATCTTCTGGATTTATGAGTTGTTGTCTCTACTATCACCTTATCTTGTTTGCTCTTGAGGCACCCCTTTTACTGGCAGTTGGGAGAGACATTGATGTGTCCTTGTCTCTTTCTGTCCTTTTTTTTTACATTCTTTGATCTTAGAATTGGTCCATAATTGACTCTGTGCTGTATCTGTGGTCCAGCATTTTTGCAGACTTCTTGCACTTTTGTTGTCAGGGCTCTGTTTCCTGCCTGTTTCTTATAGAATCACCTTTTCTAAGGCCTGCCATTTTCAGGTCCACTGCATGGCGGTTCTGTCCAACAAGCCAGCTGTTTGTCCTATCTGGGGATGTGTAGATGATTGTTGCATGATGGTTTTCTGTACTAATTTTGATGTGTGAATTTATAAAAAGTCTTGCATAATTCATCAGGTGAGGTTTGTATCTCAAGGATCATTGAGTTGGTGCTAAGAGTAATAACCTGAGTTTAAGGTGTAGTGATGGGGAACACCTGTGATAGCAATATAATAAGTTACATTTATTTTCAATGTTAATTATCAGGATAGTATGCCTTTGTTACATGTAATATTTTATTTTTATCAATAGATGGGTGATCCATGGGTGGTTACACCCGGTGAACGGGTGAAACATGAAGAGCAATTTAATACTATACGGCCCACCGGTGGTTTCATCACAGGTGACCAAGCCAAGGGCTTTTTCCTTCAGTCTCGATTACCTCCACCAGTACTGGGAATCATCTGGTAAGTTTTGTGTATTATTATACATGTACTGTGCATGTATTAGTACTTTTTAATGTGATGCCAGAATGCTGTAATTAAATCTGTTCAATTTGTTTCATTCTGTGCTTATTTATACTTATTTATATACTGTACAGGATTAAAATAAAATGCAGTATTCCACTGTATATTAATGAATTACAAATACTAATTCGACATCATAGATTGTGAAATAGATTATTGAGAAATTGGGTGAGGTTTTGATTGTCACAGTTTATGTGCTATAAGAGCTTGGTAATATGAATTCCGGTAACCTGAATCTTCGGTTAATCTGAATGAATTCATGTTCATTGTTTTCCAATAAATGATGGGATAAGCAGGTAAAAGATGAGAATGCATGGGTAATTGCCATGAGTAACTGGGTTGTGGTACAAAAATTGCAAATTTTTTCATTTTTGGACTGTTGTGGTTAATATGGCTAATTTATACTACTGTAGTATATTTGGCTAATTCATATGTTCAGTTAATTCTGAACAGTATGAAGTATGAAGTATGATGTGTATGAGCTTCATAGAATTAGGATTACAGTACCAAGCATAAACAGGATAATTTACAATATTTCAGTACAGTATTTCAACTTTTCATTATTTAAAATTAAATTTAATGAAGTTGGTGAACAAATTATTGCAAATCATTAAGAATATAATTTCTTTATAAAATCTAGTTTTCAGCACTTGATTATCAGGCCTTGAGTTACATGGAAATTTCCTTTCTGAATGAATCATTTAGTTTGATAAGATCCCTTATTTCCTAAAGGGAAGGATCATGTATTGTCGGGCAAAACAACATGCTGTATTGATGTCATTGTTACAGGGTCTTGTAACAAAGCAGTTTAGCTGCAGAGGTTTTCAGACCCTAGCAGCTTTCTCCTGCTGTTAATCAGTCTATATTTCTACAAGGAACGAAGCTAATTCTATTGTCTGCTCCACTAAACACAGCTTCCTTTGAAAACCCCCCAAGTGTGATGAAATATCATAATCTCAAAGCCTTCTGATTGAGTACGGTACTAGATTAAGGATATTAGCCCGTTCATGCTGACAAAATGGGTAGATAAAGAAGTAGAGTTGACATCTATGTGGAAGAGGATCTGAAGTGCAGCATAAAATTTATAGACTATTCAAAGACTGCTTCCTGACCCAGTTTGTTATTGAGCCCTCCAGAAATAATACTATTCTGGATTTGGTCCTGGCAAACAGATATATTAATTTACAATATAGAAATAAGCAATGAACTGGGCAGTAGTGATCATAGAGAAATTCGATTTGGTATAAACTGGAATAGCTGCTACACAAATAATAACTATCACAGTCCCAGATTTTCAAAGTACAGATTAAATGCAGTTAAGACAGGGTTATAGTTGGACAAGGCAGCTATCACAAGAGGACCAGAATTTAATGATCCATCCTTTAGTAATAAAGAATATATAGAATTTATAAATGCACTATTGTGAAAATAGCACAAGAAAATAATATCTATTCTAGACAAATTAGATAAATAATAATGACCCCAAATGGATGACAGACAAAATTAAACATGTAATTAGGAAAAAAAAAGTTAGAAGCTACAAAAGGGTAGAGCCCCACCTAATAGATTGTTGCAGTAATTATAAAGATAGGTCAAGCAAGAGGTTATGAAGTTAAGATCGCCAGAGAAGCGAAGTTCATTTCCAAAGGTTTTGATCAACTAACGCCTGTACGTACTGTATATAAAATGAATGAACGTACTGTAATGGAAAGGATAGGACTATTTTGAAGAATCTCTTGTCATCTAGTGGATGTCTAGTATATTGCTCATTTCATCCTCTACAACTATCATACAAGTCTTTACCAAGGAAGACTGAAAGACCCAGCATAAAAGCAATATACCAAGATCTTGATGGTAAATTGATGGTATATCTTTAACTTAACACATTAAGAATGATATATTTAAATAGATTGAAAGATTCAAATCAAATCAATCTCTTGGTCCTGATGAGGTATCGAGGAGAGTCCTAAAGGAATGGTAGGAGCAGCTTAGTGGGCCACTTAAAGAGTATGTAATATTTAATACTGGAACTCAATTTGAACCAACTGCCTGGAGGGGTAGTTAACATGGTTCTAATATTCAGAAAGGGGGATAAACATTTTGCTGTGAACTTGTGGCCAGTAAGCGTGACATTGAATGTGGAAAAGATTCTGGATGCAATAATTGAAGATCCTTTCAGAATTCTAATAAAATAAAAATTTAGCGTAAAAAGTGAGTTAGATTTGCTGTGATAATTGAACAATCAAAATCATTCATAAATGAACCCTCACATGTTATATGGATTTTTGTAGACCTACTTTTGAGATATTATGTACAATTATCCTGCATTTATGCACATTTTGCATTGCTGTTGTACAAATGGGCTTAAATTCATAATTACAGTACCTGTATATGCAAAACTGTAATGTAAATAATTATGGATCTCGCTAAGTACAGTATTTGCAGATTTTTTGTGTGGTTAATAAATCCGAAAAGCCACTCATAAAATATGTTGCAGTATTTCCCTAATATGTGTACAGAAGAGATCTGGCAGCAATAGCAAATCCCACTTATCAGTCACCCAGTTGATATCAAAGAGGCAGTAAACTTGATTAAAGTTTCATTAAAATCAAGGTTATTTTCTCTTAGTACATACAAGGATAGGAGGAATTACAGTACAGTACATTAATTTTGAACATGTGCATGAATAATTCTGGTCTTTTTTTGCCTGGAACACTGAAAAGTGACACTTGTAAATTAATGCCTTCATTGTCTTAATTGTGGATAAATACTTCAGGGCATTGTCTGATGTTGATGGTGATGGGAAGATGGATCTCCATGAGTTCAGCATTGCTTGTAAACTGATTAATTTAAAATTACGAGGTTTCAATATCCCACAAGCATTGCCAGCATCACTCAAGCAATCTGCTTGTGGCAGTACTGCAGGGACTGCAAGTTCTGTTTCAGCCATGGGTGAGTGCAGTATTTTATGGAAATGATGCTCTAGTTTTCATTACATTATTTTCCAGTAGTTTTTTATGTGCATAGGGAATGAATGGGGCTGATGGTGATGGTTTATATACTAAACAAAAGAAATAGTGTCATTTTGTTGATTGGTATAATTTTTAAATTTCATTTTGTTGATTGGCATAATTTTTAAATTTCTTATAGTTGAAAACTGCTGTGAGATCAAGTCAGCTGGGATGTCAGCAGAGGTATTTGTTTTAACCTCTAGGTAGGATAGCCAGTCTGCCTATCACATGTACACACACACACACACTCGGATATTGACCATCCCCCAGCTTGCCAGTTCTCGCCACAAGTTAGGATCACTCCAACTCGCGCCGGTCTCGCATATTATTGGTATATTATCAGTTTATTAGAGTAATAATATATGCTCATGGAATTTATACTGAATATAGTTTTCTGTAATAAACCCACAATATACAAGTCCACACATGTAGCAATTCCTTCTGAGAAAATAATTCCCAAGATTTGACTTTGAGATGGTTTAGTCATATTAAATAAAGGGAAGATGGTAGATTGGTTAAGAGAGTGCATATGAGTGAGGGATTTTGAAAATATTAGGAAGAAAGGCAGGTCAAGAAGATGGATGTACATGATGAGTGAGAGTGAGTAAAAGTGTAGAGTATAGATAAATGGCTTACGAGAAGTGATAGGGAATAAGGCAAGGTGGAATCAACTAAGGGAATAAGTTCGTGAAAATTGTTTGTATGAAATGATAGGTTGTTGCTGTTGATGTATTCCTATAATCAGACAGTGCTGGTTCTATATGATATATCAATATGTTGTGTGTAAGATATGGCAATGGATGGGGGTCTTTTTTTTTGGATATCTTTATTCCTTTTACCTGTTTGCTCTCCTATTCATTCTAGGCTGATGCCTCCCTACCACATAAAATTGAGAAAAGGGGCAAGTTATAATGAACACATCCTTATTAAATTAAATGCTTCTGTCAGACAAATCCAAGTCTTTGTCTTTTCTAGTGGGAACCCCTTGTGGCTTCCTGAAGCTACAATGCTGATATAGTGCCATACTGCTAGGTGGGGTCAGTCATGGAGTACTTTTCAGCCTACCAGGGACCACGAGCCAGAATCTGGTTCCCTCTAGTGGCACTATGATAAAATTGCTAGTGAATTTTAATCATTCTCCCACCACTGGGAAAGCACCCACAAAATCAGCAAGACAAAACAAATCACTACTAGTTATAGGGAAAGATCAACATATCAAAATTTGCAAAAGAACTCCCTCAACAATGTAAACAATACAAAATTCATGAAACTAGTGCAAGATTGTTCACCCAGTCTCCCCTTCCCCTTTATCGGGGAGAGGAGGAAGGTAGGCCAGGGTCAGCCAGCTGCTCCAACTTCAATTCTTTGCTGATGGTAAACAGTGTCAGCTGCCCTCTCTTTTATTATGACTCCCATGTTCTGCTTCAGTCCCCGTGGCGTAGTGGTAAGACGCTCACCTGGCATTCCACGAGCGCTTTGTCCGGGTTCGTATCCTGGCCGGGGACGATTTACTCGGTGCAAATCCTTAACTGTAGCCTCTGTTTAACTCAACAGTAAAATGGGTACCTGGTTGTAAAAACGATTCTTCATGGGAGTCGTATTCCAGGGAACATAGGATTAAGGACTTGCCCGAAACGCTATGCGTACTAGTGGCTGTACAAGAATGAAACAACTCTTGTATATATCAATAAAAAAAAATCAAAGTGATGTTTTTGTTTTGCCTTTGTGGTTGTTCTACTGCACGTGTGTGCTGTGTGAGCCAGGAGAGTTGTGCATTTGGAGCTGCATATGCACAGGGTTCTCCTCCCTGTGTGTTCCCTATTGCTGTCCTTGCACTGCCAAAGTTCTATTCCCTGAAGTGTTCGAGGTTTTCTCTCTTGGAGGACTTCCTCCCTTGTGTGGTGGTCCTCACCCTGGGTAAATCCATTTTTTTGGGGCTTTCTGTCATCCCTGGGGTTGGGAGTCAGTTTTGGTTGGTAGGGCACACTGGGATTCGTGCGACTTAACTACAGCACACCAACTGCTAATCTTTTCAGTCTTAAGTGAGCTGTGTGGACCTACTTACACCCATTTCATTGTCCAGATAACTCTCTCCCATTTGTCTCCTGGTTCAGAGAGACTTTCTCTCTTTGTGAATCTATTTCCTATTCCGGGTTTCCAGCATAGCATTCCCAGAGCCTAGGCTTCCGGCAACGCCATTCCCTGCAGACCCTGGAATACTCCTATGGGTTTGTTGGCCCCGTAGATATCTCTGCTGAACTCTCGCCTTGTTCGAGTTCGAGATTTGTGCATTGTCTGTGCCACATGGTGAGGCACATTTCTTCTGCCACCCATGCTGCTTGCTGGGTAAGTGACAACTTAAACCCCGAGTTATGTGGGACATGTTCTCCACACATTACTCCTCTTACAAACCCTTCTATTGACGTTCAGGGTTTTCAGGCAGTGACTGCTTTATGCTTCTGGTTTTCTGTTTTCAGCTGTCTAGGTTGTGTGCCCGGTTGGATGCCCTAGAGCTGCCCCAGTTGGTGTTTAGGGATTCAAAATTGGAGATGTTGATTAATTCAACTGTGGTCCCGTCTGCACCTCCGCTTCCTTCCCTGTCGGGAGTTGTGCACCCCCCATCTGGTTCTCTCTCCTTATTTCTGGCTCCAATGTGTCTGAGGGTTTTGGGGGTCAGGGCAAGGCTTGGCTTTGGATGTGGCTCAGTTAACTCCGGAGTTCATCCCTTTCGACTTGGGAGCTGAGGCAGTTGAGCCTGTTGATCTTGCTGAGGCTTCTGGGCCTTCTTTTCAGTTAGCCCCAACCTTTGAAGACTTTCCCTTGGACTCTGCTTCTCTATCTCAGGCAGTGGGCATTGATGATGCATCTGCTCTGGGGCCCTATGCTGTGGTTTCCAGGGCTTGGAGAGAGGGTACTACTATGGGCCCTTGGGCTCTACTTTATCTTTCCTGGGCTCTTTTTTTTTTCCTTTTGCAGAAGGTCTTCTGTTGCAGGGTAAGGGGTTTTCATATCCCTCCCTCCCTCCCTGTATGAGTTTGATATTTACCTGAATTTACCTAAGGGTCTCCAACATTTTTCTGGACTCAACAAGGACAGGAAGCCAGTGGCGAGTCAAAGGTCACCCATTTGTCCTGATGATTTTTTCCTAGCTCGATTTTAAAATTCGACAATTATGGCATTTATGCCTTCTGCAGGGTAGGTGGTTTCAAATGGGGTGAACCTCTGTGGCTCCTCCCAGGGTTCATTTCTGGTTGCCTTTGGGTTCTTCGGTACATCCTTCCTGAGGTTTTCAACCTCTTGGCTTCCTCTGGCAGAAGCTGTGTGTACACCTAATGTGCGTCCCAGATTCCGCCTCTTTGATGGATCTAGCCTCTTTAAGAGTTCAAGTCTTCCTCTCTTTTGTGGATGTGCTATGAGGTTCTGGAGTTATCCTAGTTGGCAGACAAATCTTTGTTTTTGCTTGGGGCTTAGTGCAATTTCTGTTGGTTCTGCTTGCTTGATTTGCATGAGACTTCTTCCATATTACAGGTGTTTCTGAGTACACTTCCTTTGCACTTTGCAATGTCTGCCTGTTTGCTCCTGCTCTCCATAGGAACATTGGGATGTTGCAGCTCCATGTTCAGGTTTCTCTGTTGTCAGCTATGCTGGTTGTGGAAGACATTCGCATTCGTTTGCACCTGGGTGCTGTCGTACATTTCTTGAGGTCTCTGGAGCTGCATTCCAGTTGGCTCTTGGAGGAAGTTGAGACACTTGGCAGTGCTCCTTTTCCTGGGGTTTTGGTCTCTGCTGTGACGTTGTCGGCAGCTTTTCTTAAGCTGTATGCCCCTTATCTTCAGGAGGTGGCGGCAGAGTTTTTTGCCTCCCGGCTTGTGTGTCGACAGGCCGTGATAGCCTCTTCCTTGGATTCGGTGTGGACCATAGCTCTTATTTCCATCTCTCCCTTTTCCCCGTTGTTGTTTCCAGTGGAAGTTGTGGACCAGTTTTTGTTCTGCAGCTACTGCTTGTCGGCCAGTGTCAGACTTCCTGTGTCTTAGGGGTCATCCTTGTGTTTCAAGGCAGTTTAGTGGAGGGCTGTGCCTGCTGTTGGTCAGGGTTGGCCGGTTCTGGACTCGGTGGCCAGGCCACTAGTGCTTCCCTTGGCAGGTTCTTCTTTGTCAGGTCGACGCTGTGCTCATGCCATTTGGAAGTTCAGTTTGTGGGGCTCACACTGGCTCTTTTGTGATATGCTCCTTTGATGGGCTAAAGAGGGGAGGGAGGCTGGTGCAAATTTGCTGGCACCTGGCTCCATCCTCTAAGGGCTTTTTGGGTCATTTTGTGCAGCCTGAGGTGGAGTTTTTCTTTCTGGGCAAGCCTCCTGTCCTTGTCTATGCCAGGTAATCTTGGAGTGAGTGTCTTTGTGGATGGTCAAGATCATCTCTTCCCCCCCTCAGTGGGTTTCCCACTTGGTTCTGGTTCTGAAGAGGGAATCTCCAGATTTACGGTTCATCCTCAATTAGTCTGGGTTGATCCAGTACATTTCTTGCCATTTATTTCGGATGACCGCATTGTCCCAGGTCTGTCTTGTTCTCGAGATGGGGGCATGGATGATTGGTTAGAACTTGTCGTGGGGTGACAGGCTTACCGTTTTTGGGTTCTCCCATTCGGGTTCCATCTGGCTCCTCATGTTTTTACGTGTTTGGCTCGGATCGTGGTGACCCATTTTCGTCTTCTCGGTGTTCGGGTTCGGGCCTACCTCAATGACTAGCCAGTGTGAGCTCCCAGCTGGTCCACATGTCTGCTGGCTTGGGATCTGGTTCTTTCTCAGATCACTGGTTTCAGGTTCCTGGTGAACTGGTGGAAGTCCCTTTTGGTTACATCCCAGGTTTGGTCTTGGCTGGGCCTCATTTAGGACTCTCAGCCAGCTTCGCTGTCCTTGTCTCTGCCAACCTTAACTTGGCTGCA